CGCATGCACCGCTAACAATAAAAAGAAAAATGAAAGAAAACTAAAAGCCGCGGGATTGATACAACATGCATCAGCCTAAATAGCCACCCAAAAGGATTTGACATTCCAAATTTTACCTCAGCCTTCCTCCATGTGTTTCCTAATTGTGCGTTGCTTATTCCGCATCTTCTCCCTATGCAGTGGTGCGAAGAGGCACAGGTCCAGCTTCATGCTCGCCATCATTATGTTGAGCCAAGGCCTCCCTCTAAAGAATAGTCACACCTTGCTCCAGCATAGCTCGACCTCCAGTTCTCCACCACTTTGCATACTTGCCCAATATTGCATAAAGGAACATGCGTAGCACACAAATTTAGATGACAATCTTACAAGTTTCTTGTCAAAACACGCTCTATTGCCTATTGCGCATCTTCCATTGAGCCCACCATATAGTTGCAAGACCCACAATTTGCACATTTCTACTAGCTGGCATAAATTCTAGGATCCACCCAAAATATTGGGAGAAACAACCAGGCATGTATGCGGGCCATACACTTTTGCAAAGGACATCTAATGAACAAATGATCGATGCTCTCGTTCGTAGGACAGAAATGGCAAGTCGGATCACAAGTACAATTCCTTTTAAAAATATTATCTTTGGTCACAATGCCATCATGCCACATAACCTAGAGCCAAATCTGGATTTCAGCTAAGGATGGCACCCGCAGGGTATGGATACGGGTGGAGCTATCCCATACCCTTACCCATCCACCCTGAGTTTACCCATCACTCATACCCATACCCGTCAAGGGTACAATTTTTTCCCGTACCCGTCACCCGACAGGGTATATGGGTACCCACGGGTAAAAATACCCACGTTTACAACACATCAATTGAGTAGAAAATAGTTGTAAAAAGCAATATATAATCATAAATTATTAATAGCAACATATTTTAAACAACAATGTACAACAACATATTGTAACAACAACATATTCTCATAAACAAAAATACTTGCCTATAAAGTGACATATAAAAATGTTAAACAACAACACATATGAATACACTTTAAGTTCACCAAATCATGAAAAATTATAGAGATAATTTGAATACACATTAGAGTTTTTACCTAGTGTGATTAGGAGGGGAAATGAATATATTTTGATATTAACGAAAACCCACCTGTCAACATTTTAGATGGGTACATGGGTACGCGGGCATGGGTTATACGATCCCATACCCGTACCCTCTCTACCCGATGGGTATGATATTTTTTCCATTTAAGTATCCATGGGTAATTTTTTGTCCCATACCCTTACCCTAATAGGGTTTTTACCCACATGGTACGCGGGTAATGGGTACCCATTGCCATCCCTAATTTCAGCAGGTACCTTAGCCTTCCACGAGTGCTTAAAGGATCTGTCTGATCTCTATATCAGACAACTTTTGATATATGAATTTGACCATGAATTTGCTATTTTAAATTTGCATCCACCATGGCATGTCCTAATCTTGATTAAGTACCACACCATTCAACATAGAGCACATAATGTTCATCTGATCTTGTTGTCTGATATTTAACCATCTCCTAAATAAGAGAGCCCATCCCCTCTCAGCCAACTACCCAACTATACAGGTTAAATCATTGCATATTCCATAAATTTCAGGGAATTTCTCATTGAAAAACTCACCTTAACACACAAGTTATCTTCCCAAAAAAAATTGTGATGGCCATTCCCTACCATATTCTTTTCCTGTTATCACTGCAGTGATTCTGGATCTTGGTATGGTTAGCCCAATAGGCAGGATCAAAAGCAGAGTTGGGGACTTGTGTAATTACATTTTGAATTTTGTATTTCTTCCTCACGATATACCGTGTTTCCTCTCCAGATTCCACCATCACTTACAAAAGCAAGATAATATTGTTTTTTTCTAGATTATGTATCCCCAAACAACCTTTTTCTTAGGTATGGAGATCAGAGGCCTTCTAACCACATAATATATTTTTATTTCTCTGCTACCTTGCTAGAAGAATCTTCTAATAGTTTTATGCATTCTCACCGCATTCGTTCAGAAACATGTACATGGAGAAATTGTACACATGCATGCTAGTTAGGGAAAGCTTTGATATTGCTGACCCTACCACCAAGGGATAGGTCCCTAGCCTGCCATAATCCATTCTTAGCACCAATTTGTCCTCTAGAAGCACTCAATCTGCCATATTTAGTCTGCTCTCACAAACAAGTACAACTATGTATTTGATAGGCTAATACCCATACTAGCAATGGAGCGTGTCAACATATTTTTGTTGCTTCTCATTATTATGCAAAATCACCAAGACCTCACTTCTTTGGAAATTAATTTTCAAGCCAGACATTTTTTTCAAACAAATATAAAGGCAACTTCAAGTTACGAGCACTTTCGACATCATCCTGGACGAATAGAGTTGCATCATCAAATGGGGGATCAATCCCACAAATTGACTGATAGCTTCAGCTTTATGAACCGTCTTTTGTAAGCAACAAGTAGCAATGTTTTAACAAGATTAGGTCACTGCTCATGCATTACAATGGGATATAAATATTCTAGTACGTTAGCTTATGATTTACCTGCCCATATTAATGCGATTGCGTACATAAATGTTTAGCAATCCCGCCCGTGATTTACCTTATAATTTGATGAGAAGTTTGGTAAATAATTAGAGTGGAATTGGTTTAGAAAATAGGTAAATTAAGGTGATTGATTACCATACGGGAAAGGTTGGATGAAGGGGTGGTCGGAAGAAAAGTGAAAGATGAAAACTTACATTCTTTTTAAGTAGTAGAGAAACTTGAGAATGGATCTCCCCGCCTCACCCCTTAAATCTCCCAAAAACATTCCCCGTAGTGTCATTGATCTTAACATTCAAGGGAGTCCCTTTTACCATGGTTGTAAACCAATTCATCCAGGTTTTTGAAGCTTCTCTCCTGCAAGCAATTAACCTTATAAAAGTGATTGCCTTGAATGTTAAGATCAATGAAATGGTTTCAAAGTCTAATTTCAAAATAATCCCATGTTGCTTCTTCCTCTTATATTAATGCGAGGTTTCATGCACCGACATTGCCCCATCCATACCATTTCTTCCCTCAATAAAAGCATTCTGACACAGAGAGATCAATTTGTTCATATAAGGAGAGATCTGCATAGTCTGAGATTTTGAGAAGAACTTAAAGAGCACATGCAAAAGACAAAATGGGTCTAAATTATCGGATAGTATTAACATCTACACCTTTGAATATTAGAGTTATCATGCCAAAA